GCAACATTTTATACATTAATAAGAAAAATGTATATTAATAATATATCAGAAATATAATAGGAACATATTTATATATTTAAAACGATAAGAATTGATATTATATCGCTGACATGTCCGCGGCATATTTGTCTACATCTCGTTATTGCAGATGCTCTCAGTTCCTTCTATATATTTTCAAGGCACAAGCACTTTCCTATTCAAGGTAGCTCACAACTTGAGTCACATCGCAGGACTGTAATCATTAGAGAAATAAAACTCGATATCAGACGTCTATGCCTGATTAATATATAACTGTATGTACTACATATGTGTGTGTGTGTGTGTGTGTGTGTGTGTGTGTGTATGCGCGCGTGTATGTGCGCGCGTGTGCGCATGCGTGTGTGTGACATTGCAATGTAAGCACAGAGCTGTACATTTATTTTACACGTGAATAATTGAGGGGATTCTTATAAAATTTTTTTTCTTTTATCGAATGGGAAAATTTTTGTACACTTTCGGGTACATATTTCACCCTCACATTCCTGCTATTACACATAAAAAAAATTGCATATATCATATCGCTTATATAACTACATAATATAAAAGGCAGCCAAGGCACAAATTTGGGCGACGCAACAAAGTATATAGTGTTCCATCAATCCTTGAGAGCGTTAAGCTTGAAGTCGAATTCCCATAGACTTCGAAGGAAATTCGAAGGATCGTTTTGAAGATTAGGCACAAAGGCTCAGGCAAGATTGTTTTGTAAAACGGGCATCGCGACTAATCTATAATGATTCAGTTAACAAGGAAATTAAGATGTGATGATAATGTGAAGTATAAGCTATAAGTATAATGTTGCGTATGAGAAACTATTCATATACACATACATCTTATAGTAATGCATCGTGCTCGTTCGAATGTGACAGAGCTCAACATGCTGAAAAGATTTCGCAACACCTATCTAGTCGATTCATCAATGCAGATTATGATTTAAAAGAGATCTGTAATTGTAGTATACATTTCTCGCGATGAAAAGCCGACCAGGTATAATCAGATCACATCTTGCAGAAAGGAACCAATTCGGAGAAAAATTCAGAAATGACCATAAACATATATAATATTTTTCTTATTTTTAAGTTTTATCTTCTAATATAGAATACTGATCGGTTCCTTTGTACAAAATTCGATTAATTCAACCATTTTATCAAACGATAAATTTTCCTTATAGAATGGGCTGAAAATATCTTACATTTTACCCTTTTTTTTGTAGTCGATTATTGTCTCCATCACTTGTGCAATTAGTGCAATTGTACCACATTATGCAATATCGAATAAACATTTTATCGACGTTTATGTTTGTACCAAAAATATCATGTTCGAATTTTACCCAATTATAAGTTTACATCTTATCCTTTTCTTATCTTAAAAAAGCAAATCCCTTACTACTTTTGTCTATTATAGAAAAATTAGAATGTTATTAGCCAAATAAGCTTTGTTCCCCTTCGTACTTTCTTTTGTTTATCATCAAATTTGCCAAATTGAATAGCAAAGAATCACAGCTAGGCACACGTCGGCAAAATCAGTGACAGCAAATGGCAGTGAAATAAGATGGTATATTGTCTATAATTAGGCACTGTTAATATCTGATGTCTCTCTCTCTCTCTCTCTCTCTCTCTCTCTCCCCTCCCCCCCCCTCCTCTCTCTCTAAGACACTCGTAGAATCGATGTGCTTTTGAGATATTTGATTTAAGACTTTGGAAACATGATTAGATACAATAAAAAAATTGCATTTCTCTGATGAAATATCACAGTGCGTAAATTAAACATATTATGCGAATATTTTTTTTGGCACCTTTCATAATGTAAAAAAAGTAACAAACATAATATCAAGCTTAACTCCAATCAATTGATAAACATAACTTTTACTCAAGCAATATAAACTTACTGATGACTTCTTTTTTTATTACACACACACATACATCATTCACACACTTGTATATACGTGTGTACGACAATTTCCATACAGAAATATGTACAGCACATAAAATTTCATATACAATTTGTAACTAAGAAATGGAAGTACGTGTTAATAGCGCCGTTACTTTTTATCGTTACTTTGTTATAGTAATAATAATTTGGTAATAACGTTGCGAATTTTTATAAAGATCATTTTATAAACATCAGAATTGGAAAATTACTTGTAATGGGTTGGAAAACTCATTACTGAAAAAAGTAATTTTTTATCTGTAACTAGTTACTTTTGTTTGTTATTTGTGACGAAAAAACAACTCATCAATGCGTTACAAGTTACTTATTATTTTTTTTCAATAAATAACGCGTAACGGTAATAAGTTACTTTTCAAAGTGACACTTTCCTAACCTTAGTGCAACCTTAGCGTTTAATTAGTTATCATTATAGTCATAAAAAATTGCAAATGATTATTATAAGAAGTAACAGTAAAAGTAACGAGTGATTCTTCCATTCCCTGTTTGTAACACATAAAACTTACCTAATCGTGTACTGTTCTTAGGAATTTTAATACGGAAAGCATCGAATCGCTTGTTGCACAATACAATAATGGAGAAGAGTACAATGCAATGTAATGTACGTAGAGATGAAGCATGCCATGAATAATAAATCTTTCTATAGATTAGTGAGTTTGTTTCAATATATCATTGGACGCAGTTAACTTTTCTTTTAGTCAACGTGAGATCAACGTCCAATATCTTTGAAATAGATTGCATCATTAAAAATTACTCAATAAAAGCTCGCACTATTTTAAATCGTCTAATGAAAATTTTGAATATATCTATATAGACGTAAATGTACTTTAAAGCATACATGTAACTTAACAGACATAATTATTAGATTAATCAAATTAAAAAAAAAAAACAAAATATCTTTTCTTTTCGCTTTCTATAATTCAGAGAACTTATTTTTTTCTTTACAACAATTATAATCATAAGTTTCTTTTTTTCCGCATATCATAATAAATCTTAAAATTGTATCATAATAAATCTTAAAATTTAATTAAAAGACTTTGTTCGTAACTGACAAATATCTCTATAAAAAGTTTTCATATAAAATAAAGTATTAGGCTGATGCATAGATTTGAAAAATATTTCTTTGTGTGTGTGTCGTGTGTGTGTGTGCGCGCGTGCGTGGTGTGTATGCGTGTGTGTCTATATATATATATATATATACACACGCGCGCGCGCGCGCGCGTGTGTGTGTGTGCGCGCGCATGTATGTATGTATGTATATATAATATATAATTCTGTCCTTATATAACAGCCAAAGAGTTTTTATAGCGTCTAAATGTATACGCGGTCACGATAACTCCCAGAGATCGCCATCTTTAAATATTTTTCTTTTGCATAACATTTCTCATGAGTTTTTGTATCTCTTTCGAACATTACATCTCTCGTTCATTTCATTATCATGTTTCTTCTTAGATATTATTTTAATATAAGTATAACATAGGGCAACTTACTGTAACTGTATTTCGTCCGTGCACAGTTTCCGTAATTCTCACATATGTGGCAAATACAGCCTATATTTGAACTTTTAAAAGTGCATCGAGACTAATTGTCTTTTTGTCTTAAAACAAATCTCTATGATGCGTGTACGTTACTTATGAGACAGAACTTATGGCGTTGTGAGGCGGACCCATCTGCGTTAACACTTTGTCCAACCATTGCAAAGGTCCGTGCAAATGTGCTTCGATCCAACAGGGAGTTGAGGTAACATCCTGTCTATGATATTCCGCACCCCATCCCTTCACGAAAGACATTCTAGCAACAAAAATAGTAAATGTAGTTACACATTACTACTATTTTTTATAATAAAAATATCGTGAATGAAATTACCTAATCGTACACATCTTTGTTAATTCATAGACAGCTTCAAAACCATGATTTACGCTTTGCGATAGAAGTTGGGCAAATTCTTGATTGTTAAATATCTTCAATGAACATCCCGGTGGAATTTTACAAACTGTGCTGGGATGAAAGCCATGATGATGATTACAATTCCTAGACTGTACAAATATCGCAGAATCCGAGAGACATTCGGCATAAACTTCTCCGCCGACGTAATACAGATGCACTCCTTTGCCTATGTGCCGCCTCGTATTCTCTATCGTAGAATTTCGATTTACATTAGACAGTTGTCCAAGGCAGAAGCGATCGGAGTTGTTGCTCGGATTTGTAAAGCCGTCAATAATCACGGAGTGCGAATGACAGTGAAATACTTCACCCACTCGACAATTTAGCTCGTAATAAGCGATTGAAGCCCAGTAAGGTGGTTCTTGGTAACACACAGGTGTAGCTGATTCAATTGATGAGCTTGTGTCCATCGGAACTGAGTCCGAGGATGTGGTTTGCCCAGTTTGAGAGCCATCCTCAGGAGGAGAATATGCTGGCGGTGGTGTCTCCGGTAATCCATTGGTACCATATGGACTCTGAGGATTCGGCAAAGTCGTGCTCCCTGGACTGGGCACGGAACCGACAGAGGACATAGGTGACGTTGGATTAACACCACTCGTAGAACCAGCATTGAAACCGCTAGATGTATAGGACACGTTATGTGGCATGCTTGGATCGGCTAATTGCTGAAATGGCAACAGAGAATGGCCGGGAGCATATTCCGAGTGTCTAGGAACCAACACCGGTGGCAGTACCGGGCTCTCCACCCTTTTGTAATGATAAGGATTAATGCAGACTTCCTTCTGCTTGGCAGAAAACGGAAACTGACACAAGTCCAGTGGTTTCAATTCGTGATGTGACTGGAGATCTGGCCAGCGCCAGACTCTACAGTATATCACATGTGGCAAGCCCTTACGATGCGAAACCTGCAATCTACCATCTAAGCTTCTAGGAATAGTCACGCATTTACTTGGCGTTCCAGGGCAGCTCAGTGCTCGTTCCAGTTCTTCGATCGCGCCTTTGCGCTTCTTCAGTTTCTTCACTAACGAATCCACTGCTTTTTCAGCCCATTTCTCCTCCTCATCACCTTGCTTCCAGCCGAGTAATTTTTTCACAGCGGGACTGGTGAATGAAAATAAGCTGTTTAATGAAGACATAGGTCCAGAACTCGAAGCTCCTTCTTCATCATCCATATTTGAAAGGTGATGTATCAATTAGGTGTAGTGAGTATGCATAATATTCCTGTCTACTATCTATCTATAAAAAAAAAATCTTCGTCAGCAATCTGAAATCACACAGAGGCAATACTTTTTTTAATTTCTTTCGATTCATAATATCTGAAATAAAATCTGAAAAATTGAATAATTTTATCTTGAATTATAGTTGATTTTAGCTACAAGTTAATTTATTCTTTCTCTTGAATTAAAAAAAAAGAACTTGAATATGCAATTTTTTTAAATGTCAACAAACTTTAATTTTTTAAAATTACAAAATAAGTAAATAAGTTAAAAAAATACATTCAATAAAAAAAATATTCATAAATGTAATGATATTAATTCGTCTATTATTCTGTTTATATTGTGATTTTAAATTCTATCTTAACTATCGATTAAATTTGTCTTTCAAAAAAATATTGGACGAAGCGCGATTTCATCGGTCTTCAATCCTTTTTGCGATGTTATTTTTACAGGAATGTGAGTTTTAGCATGTCTCCTCCCACTACTATATCAATTCAGTGACAAAAAACAAAATTCCATAAATATTGTCTCTTTTTCAAATAGAAATAGCGAGTTCCGAGATGGAGTACTTTGTGTGATATTTCGAATACATCAGTCGTTTATTTTATTTGACATAAATTATGAATAGTAATTACAGAAATGTCGTTAATTCAATTGAATATCAATAATTCATTAATTTTGAGGAAACATGCACTCGGAATTCCGGATATGCTCTGTTTCCCGCTTTCGTTACTTATTTAATAAAACGTCGTGCGTCAGTGAATTCACGTTTTGCGGGTGTGGATGACGCGTTTTCAAACGAGTGCGAACGTCGAACACATCATCGCAGCGAAAAGAGGGGAAAAAAAGGAGAGAAGAACCTGACGCGCCGGAAGCACGCGCCGGGACTACACCCTTCCCTGAATCGGCGTGCGGGAGCATCGCGCTCACCGATAAGATCAGAGCACAGACCTTTGCATAACGTACAATGCACAAACTATAAGACAACTTATGACTGAGTTCAATAGAAAAAGCAATTCTACAATTGTTGTAAAGTTGCAAGATTCTTCAGGTCTGCTTGCGTTGTTTGCACTTTTTGCACTCATTATCACTTTCTTACTCTTCAACGCTAGAATATGTTTATCTCATTTTAAATTTGAGAGACTTCAAGCAAGACAAATAGACCTTTTAAAAGGATTGACTATTGTCCTCAATTCCTTGCTAGATTCAAATATAAAACCGATCATAGAAAGATTCTTACAACAGTTGTAAAGATACTTCTTTTCCTGAACACAGCCAATTAATGAAAGTCTTGCCCTTTCATGAAACGAAGAATTGTTCGATCGATTCTCTTATACTTTACGAAAAGTTCCGATGTTCCGACGATACGCGCCTCCGCCCGCAACATCTCGTTCACTTACGCACTGCCTAGCGATTCAACATTGTTTTTTTACCACTGTCTCCCACTCTTGCCGCCTATCGTCCATCGACGCCACGCTCTCGCCATTACGATCTCGCGCCCAGCGCAAAAAGCGTTCGCAGGGATTATCGATTGCACTGTTCGACTGCCGAGGCTGGCTGGCCGCAGGCGCGAGTCAACCGATAGACAATTCCGTGAAACGGTGACGATGTCGGGAGATCGATCTCGAATCAATGTCACACCGTGACGCATCGCCATCCCGCGCTGCTACGCCTACGATCCTTCACCGTTGCCATTCTGGCAACGTTCGAGCGCCAACTATTCACGACGACGACAATCGGACGACGACGAAACGCGGATTTGATGCTCCAAATTTCGAACGGCCGACTCGCAGAGACGTAACGAACACTTCGTCTCGTTCCACGAAATGTGTAAATAGTCTTGAAACGGTCCGATCGATTATTTGATTCTCGTTAGTTCCGCAGCGATATGAACACACATGTTCATCTCACACGCGACGATAATGCACGAATCGATGTTTACTCGGAGGATCACGCCAACAGCAACGGCCAAAGCGATGCGCTTTCGCTTATTGCCGTTCACAACGCTGCGTCTGAATCCATGTTTGTTCAGTCGGGCCAATCGCGTTCTAAAGTCTAAAGATGCCTTTGCATTAGTCCGTATCTACAATAGCTGCGTTCGGCAATGCAAATCTGAAGCATCGGAGTGCTCTTTTTCTACAGTACACGTGACATGTGCTATAATATAAGAGCACTCCGACGCATCAGATTTCCATTACCGAACGCAGCTAATAGGTTTATATACCCAACAATATCTCACGCATCTATGATACTCGCGGTCGCATATCAATTTTCGTAACAAGGACTGTGGTCAAAGTCTCTCTACAAATGCTTTGAAGCATTTGATGGACCAATTAGAAGAAATAATTTTATGAACTGACCAATTAAAAACCGCTTCAATGCGTTTGCAACATCGCGTTGACGTATTCCAAATTCGTTGCGGTAAAGCGTCTAGTTCTAAATCTAATTCTAAGAACTCAACGTTGTTTGTTCGTCGTGTAAACTATGTAATAAGTTTCTATGAGATAAGTTACTTTCGTAATACTTTTCTTACGACGCATTCACCATGCGCAGGACTACTAAATTCACGAGCACTGCGAGTGTCGAGAATCGAAACTTAACTCGAAACCTAAAATCGGTCCATATTTCGTAGACTGGCTAGACTAAGTGGACAGAAATGTGATTGGATAATTTTCTTTATACATATGGTTATGCGGCTATGTAAGTTGTGTGGAATGGCCTTAGGACTGGTTGTTTCATCTTTTGGTAAATTTTACCTGTTAGGTAAGTAGCAAGATTATCCAATCATGCGTGGATTACCAGATTTACCTCACAGATAAAATTTACCAAATGATGAAACAACCGGCCCTTAATCATTTAAATTTAACAGATACGCGAATTTTCATAAGCGCCGAGAGTCTTTAATAGTATCTCGTCGGTGCTGCAAAAAAAAATTGTAATTTTTCTGCAATATATAGGATATTGTAGCTTGACAAGTATGCATATTTATTTATGAAATACTTATATAATAAAAAAATCATGAATTTAAAAATGTATTAGCCAAATATTTATGTTAATAATCACATATTTATATTAATTGTCGATAATTGTCAGCGTTCTTCAATTACTTCCGGATCTTTTTTATATGGATGAAAATTTGTCCTGAATTGGCGGTCATTAATAATATCTGGTCGGTGATATTAATATTGGGCGAGTTCGAAACGGCCATAGGCATGCTTACAGAGCGATTGTATATGATTGGTTGGATCTATAAGTAACAATTATGTTCATTTGCTTGGCGAGCAGCTCAGCAAACGAGAATGGATTAAAATGGATTAGAAATTTTTTTCTATCCGATGTGTATTTTAAATAGCGAATACATTTTTTTAATTTAATTGGATTCAATTGGATTCAATTGGATTGAAAAACTGTATTTCCTATTTAAAATTTTGAATTGAACAGTATTCACAATTGTGTTTTGCAAAGAAAAAGCCATTATTTTTAGATAGGGATATCCATGCAATTCCTATAAATGAATAAAAATGTACTCAGAATTGAAAAGCATTCATTTCGTGAATCAATATTTCTGAAAATCTGAATCCATTTCTATTCATTTCAATCCATTCTCGTTTGCTATTCTCTTTGTAGTTCCCTCGAGGCTAATCACTTTGTTTTAACTTAAACGTATCCATTGTTTTCATTGTGCTGCATTGTATTATACTACAATGGCTGTCGGGAATTCCCACTGATATTAATCAAAAGAATTTTTCTGCCTGGCGAAGAAGAGAAAGAAGGGGTTTCTGGGAACATCGTTATATTTTATATGAGCTTGCCTTGTCAGTTAGTACGATTACGATCCAGAAGAAGATTGAAGGCTGTGTAGGAACGATGCATATTGTTCGATTGATTAGTTTGAGTACTTTATAATCGCATCGTGAATCTTTACGCGTGAATAATTTTCACGGAAAAAGAGAATTTGTGCGCGACAGATTTAATAATATCAAGCAATATTAAGGTAATGTATATTCATGCATAATCGCGCGCAAATTTCGGAAGTCGACTTGACCCCAATCTCGAATGTGTTCTTTATAGTTCAAGTGTTGTAACATCTAAAATTTTTGAAATTGTGACAGATTTGAAACCTTAACGAAATCTGATCGTATTAACTTCTAAAGTCTTTTTCTCAGAAGGCAGGTGCCATTAAGTGTAATAAAGTATAATAAAAAAATAAGAGCATAATGTGTGGAAAGCGTTACTTGCCGTTCGTCATAATTTCCTGGTCTTCACCAAAATATTTCTTATTAATTCCATTTCAGTGCAGATCAAATTTACAGTATTTTCCATTAAAAAAGTAAAGATTTATTGAATAGAAGCTGGAATGAAATAAGCACAGTTAACCCAGTAAACGAGAATGGATTAAAACTTTTTTAATGCTTACTTTAAATTTATGGATTGAATAGATTGAAATGGATTAGATCCGAGCTGACACTAATTTAATATTCGAAAAAAAAAACATTCATATTTAAGGGTTACAAATTTTATTCCTAAGACATTTATAATAATTATACCTGATATTAACTATTGTACTTTAAATTGATATTAAAAAAAAACATACCATAGTGGGATTTGAATCTTGGATCTCTGGATTATAAATCTTCTACGTTACTCGTTATACCACTTTTTCAATTGATAAATGTGTTATTCATTCTCTACTTCAATTACATTACAATGAGACAACATTGGGTAAGTGTCAGATCTAATCTCGCTTGCCAATGTCGCGCGCTGTGATCAACGTAATATTCGGGCTGTGTTCAATTTAGTTTGTGAGTTCACATCGATTATTCATTTTACTTCTAATCAAAGAGAAAAGAAGATAGCTCAATTATTTTTACGTAACTTTTTTGAACTTAGTTGGATTAAAATGAAAAATTTCGTACTTTCAATTTTGAATAACTTAAGTAACATTTATGATTTATTTTTAAATGAAAACTTTTTATTCAATTAGATTGAAAAACTACATTTCATATTCAAAATATTGAGCAGTATTCACGATGCACAGAAATGGCTGATGTTATTTTTAAATTCAACTGAATTGAAAAACTGTATTTCCTATTCATAATTTTGAATTGAGTAGTATTCATGATGCACATACAAAATACTATAATATTTTTAGATTGAAAAGTATAGAAATACTCTATGCCATTCCTATAAATAAATAAAAATGCATTAAAGATTAAAAAGAAATAGATATTTGTTTCATGCAATTCTTATAAATGAATAAAAAGGCATTCAGGATTGAAAAGGATTTATTTTAACATTTCAGACATTCATCTGTATTTCTGAAAATCTGAATCCATTTTAATCCATTCTCGTTTGCTGGGAAATACATCTTCGACATATAAGTTTAAAGAATTAATTCTATGCAGCATTAATTCTTCGGTGGAAATTAGACCTCTTATGAACTGATAAGTTACAAATAGCAAAAGACCCATTACTGGGGCATAAGAAGGAAAATGAGATAGAACATGTGATGCAATACTCAGATTTTCAATAATGATTCATTGTGTTATATTATTATATCCTTTCTGAAAAACATCAAATATTTTGCTTTCTTATTTTTGTATGATTATTTTCATAAGCACGTATATTATCAAAAATCATCTTTTATCCACATTTTATCCACAATTATTGCTTGCTACAACTTTGGACTTCTTGATTAAACACACCACCACATTTAAATAAAAAACACCTTGGTCTATGCCATGTTTTTGTCCTGAATCATTTTAGTATTATATTGAAAAACATATATATTTAATATATTTATTAATAATGATGTCAAAAGGAATTTGATTATCGACAGCTGAAAGAAGTGCATTTACAGTTGCATTTATTTTTAAAATTTTTTTATTTGCATTATCCAGAAAATTTATATCTTTTTTTAACATTAAAAATTCCTTCTTTTGATGATATAGATTAAAAGATTGCTCTGTTTTAAATTTTTAAATCCATTCATCTTTAAAACTGAATTTTAATTATTTTATAAAATCGTATGTGATGCATTTGATAATATAGATTTTTTAATCATTGTATGGAGTCTGTTACTGATATGTATTTTGAAATTGTGATGGAAAGAAAACATGTTCAAAATGTCTTGAAAAGTCCTGATAGATTATTTTGTCTGAGTCTAGTTAAAACAGAAAGTACAAGGAAAAAAAAATATATGGTTATTCTTTAATATATTTAAAAATCAGCCTGGAATTCAATTAATATTTATTTAATCAATAAGTTTCTGCAGTATTAATCAAAGTAATTATTAAAAATTTATAAGATAAAAGAGATTATATTAAGAAAAATCAAAAAAACGAAAAATTATTAATAAAACATTAAAATTTATGTATAATTATACAGTAATAAATAAATAAATTTATTAATATTCAAATGTTCGTGATCACTTTTCATCCCGTGTATTGCAAAAGGAAACCAAACGCTAAGTGAACAAAAAGTTTGTTTCAATGCATTTTTAGATGACGCGTAGAAGAATTTTTAGATTTACCGGAAAGAAGCATAGTGATCGGCCATCCAAGGTGGCTTCTCCTGTAGCTGAAACGGAGGTTGAGATTATTTGCCTTATCTGGAAGTATCGCCTAGATTATGAAAATCCATTTATTCGAAATGAAAAAGAATATTAGTTTTCTCAATGTTGCATTTGAAGCTGCCTTTTAGATCTTAAAAAATATCAAAGTCATGTATTTATTTGCTTCCTCTGTATTGTCGGTAAACACATCGTGTCATTTAATATGTTTAAATGCCGTTATTATCAAAGATAAGATTCAATAGATAATGGCTGCAAATATTGCTGAACTTTGTAATAACGAAATTATAAACAGTTTATATACGATAATGGATTTTCCTAATCGATAAACTTTTTAGTAGTTAAGACTTTTACAGTATATATTTGTATTATATTTTTTTTAACGCTTCCATGGGTATTCATGGAAGTTGTATGTTTTTTGGGTTGTCTCTGTGATCCATTGTTAAAGTGCAAACGTTTCGTGAACAGTTCACTTCAGTATCAGACTCCTTGTTCTGATAAAGTGAAATGCAATGTTTAAAAAATGACATTTTAATAACATTGTTACACAAAATAAAAATCCAAATGTCACCAGGTATTTCCTTCAGTTTTTTTGGACGCTGAATACGAATCTGATTTTTAAATTGTTCTACCATGATATAGTTTTGAGAAATTGCTAGTTAAAATTGAAAAAAGTTCTTTTGAAATATTTTGTATATTATAACGATATAGTGAGATGTTGAAGTTTTATTACAATCAAAATAAAATACATTCTTAGGCTTTTTCCTCTTCAAGAAGAATTTTTAGCTATCAAAATTTAGTACTGATTACGGTTAATGAAATATTGATAATAAAATATGGAGTTTGTTATAGAAAAACTTTGAATTAAATGATTTATTAAATAGCTTCTAATTATTTTTAATTTTATTTATTTTTAATTTTATTTATTTTTGAACTTATGGAATTTTTTTTTATAAATTAAATATGAGTTCGATATCAAAATTGACAAATTTAAAATTTTGAAAGACTTCTATACAAAAAAATTTTCACAATACGACTATAGTTTAAGCGTTTTGGCATTCGCCATATTGAATACACAATTTTGAATTTGGCAATTATAATATCGGACTTGTATTTAACGGTTTAAGAAATCCTTAAATTTGAACATAATAGAAAATTTTTTAGTAAATTGTTAATGATAACAATTTACTATTTGGTAAAAAATTGACAGCTTTTTGACAACAAATTTTATATTTAATCGTGAATATCATTAATTATAATCGACAAACTACAAATTCCTGTTGAGGGCTAAAAAGCCTAAGAATGCATTTCATTTTGCAATAAACTTTTCTAGCATGTTATGTATATATTGTAGTTATAATATGCACATAAAGTATCTGAAAAAAATCTCTCTTTACAACTTTAACTGCAAATTTCTCAAAACTGTGACATGATGGAGCAATTTGAAAATCGAATTCAGAGTAAACTATAAGAAATGATTTGTCTCATTCCAGGCTTCGAAAAAAGTTATTTTTTGTCGAACTTTGTAATGGAGTTAGAGACAACTTGCAAAATATACAGCTCTTTTATGTTTGTCTCTCGAATCTTAGAACTTTAATGAAGTAATCCGTAATATGTTCCATAATGGCATTACATAGGGTGGTACTATTAAGTATTGTAATAGATTTTAAAGAAAAATTTCTTCTTTATACAAATTTAAGGCAAAAACTTTATATGTCTGAAACTATTAGTTTAGAGATACGATGTCAAAGTTGAAAAAAAAATTCATTTTCAAAGTTTTAAAAATTCCTTGCATTATTTTGATGACTTGAGAAACTTTGCATATGTTTAAAGTTTCATTAAAGTAATTCGAGTTGTTTTCGCAATATGTGGAAAAAACCGAAATTTTTCCTTCAATTTTAACATCGTATATCTTTGAATCTAAGCCTTTTCGAATATATATGATCATTTGGAATTTACGTTTTGAATTTATGTAAGAAATCAAATCTTAGAGTACTTAGTAGCTACCTTATAGAGATATTCTTAAATTATCATAGACATATTATAAAATTATCATAAACTGCAAAAGAGAGAGGAGACATAAGTAAACTTTTGTTGTAGACTCCTTTGCAAACAGCGCAGAAATATAAGAATGCAGGAAATGTACGTTTCACATTGGGAAAATATAATGAAGCCATTGCTCAATATAATAAAGCAATCGACATTTGTCCAAAGGAAAGTGTGGATGATCTCGCGATTTTTTATCAGAACAGAGCGGCTGCATATGAACAATTAGTAATAAAATTGAAGCATAACATGAAAATTTACTTAAATTTATTGATGAAATTAATGTGGTGTAAGTGTCTATGCAACTATAATTATAATTTACAGAAAAGATATAATAGCGTGAAGGCAGATTGTACAAAAGCGTTAGAATTGAATCCAAAATACATGAAAGCTCTGCTACGTCGGGCACGTATTTTGGAGCAATTAGGAGATTTTGAAGCAGCTTTGAAGGATATTACTACTGCCTGCATTCATGAAAACTTTTCTGATCAAGCTTCCCTTTTAAAAGCACAAATGATCTTGGAAAAGCTTGGTGAGTTACAAATTAAAAGTATTTAATATCAAATACTATTCACGGCAAAGTAGAATAAGAATTAAAAAATAACGCAAAGAAATTTTAAGACTTACAATTAAAATTATTTTTAGTGGAACAACATTTCCCGAAGAAATCGATACACATATCTTTTATGCCAACTACACTTGTTATCGAAATATATTATATTAGATCTTTCTCTAAAGATCCAATACTTTCAAGACTTGAATATCCAGAAAATATTCCAGAGTAAGTATAGGCAAGATTTTTGTGTAATTAGACTTTTAATTTTTTGCATTTGTTACCAGATTTATCAAGAAACCATTACAAGCATTAAAAAATAGGGAATATCATAATATAATATCGCTGTGCACAGAAATCATTGAAAGTCCTAAATTTGATATATTACCTCCCTCCAAATTAGAAGTGCTATTATTAAGGGCTACATTTTACTTCATTTGGCATGATTACAATGCTGCAATCCACGATCTTAAAGTTATTTTGTCTAGCGAAGATGTACGTGATAACATAAGGGTAAACGCCTTAATAAAAAGAGCCTGTATATACCTAGAAATTGGGACTCCAGAAATGGCTTTCAACGACTTTGAATTAGCCCTTATGATAAATCCAAGTTGTAGCGATATCTACTATCATAGAGGACTGGTATTACTAATTTGATCATATTTTTTTATTACACACATGTAGATTCATTATTATGAAGCATCGTAACAATATTATTTTATTATTTAAGGCATATAAGAAAATAGGAGAGCTAGACAAAGCTAAGTGCGATTTTGAAAAAGCCGTTGAATACAATCCAAACTTCAGTATGGCACACATGCAAAAATGGTACGCAAATTATCAGTTTGCATCGTTGAACGGAAATATATATTTAGTCGAAATTACTGTGAGAAACATTGAGAAAGCTATCGCTAAGTACTCAAATTCTCCTGAATGTGTATGTTATTATGTTTTATACGCTGAGGTACATATAATTACCTATAATTTTGAAAGAAAAAAATTAAAATTACGAAAATAATGATAGTGATAAAGCATTATTATGTCGTACACATTTTAATTTATTGGTGGAATTTTCAATCTTTATAGATAATGTTCAAAACTCAACAGTATCAAAAGGCTGATATTTATTTTGTTAAAGCAATAGAAAAAGATCCGGATTGTGCTATTGTTTATCTGCTATTATGGAACTGTAATCTTATTAACATTGAGAAATACGTGATCAAAGCATTAAAATCCGATACATGCTCTGTTGAAGGCAAGCTTAGAGGTTTTGAAGTATTAAGAATAATCGAAATAGAACGGTATGTTTTCAATATAATTTTTTCTTACAATTATTGTACATAATTATTGTACATAATTTTCAAAAGAGACCATTTGTAATTATGTATGTTGCTTACATAAAGAATCTGATTTTAATGAAAATATTTCGAATCCACTTTTTCTTTCAGAGGGAATATAGAAGAAGCAGTAAGATTAACTAATATGGCTTTAATATTCTGTCGTACATTCAGGGAACTACTATACATGTATAATGAGGACCCTACAAAAATATTTCTTGATACAAAGCTTCGATTTACGCAAATCGTTCATTTCCTTCGGTCATATTCTCGATTCATTGATATACAAAATGCGGAGGAATTCGACAAACATATTCCCATTGACAGCGATGGATCATTCAAAGTGCTTTCTCCTGCAACCGAATCGGAGGTTAAGATAGCATGCCTTATATGGAATCGTTTTCCATTGACTGCAAAAATACAACCAGCAAACGAGAATGAATTGAAATGAATTGAAATGAATTCAGATTTTCAGAAATATTGATTCACGAATGTTAAAATGAATGCTTTTCAATTCTAAATGCATTTTTATTCATTTATAGGAATTGCATGGAATATATCTCTATGCCTTTCAATCTAAAAATAATATTAGCTTTTTTGTGCACAAAAACACAATTGTGAATACTATTCAATTCAAAATTTTGAATATGAAATGCAGTTTTTCAATCCAATTGCATCCAACTGAATTCAATTGAATCCAATTAAATCCAAAAAAAAGTATTCGCTATTTAAAATACGCATTCGGATAGAAAAAAATTTCAATCCATTTTAATCCATTCTCGTTTGCTGAGCATTTATCCGAAATTCACAATCCGAGAGGATTTTTAATTTCAGATAAATCCTCTTACGATTATTACGTCCGCTTCTTGAATTCCAAAAATATCAAAATAATAGATTTATTATTTCCTTTTCTTAATGTATTTGCTAATTGATAACTATAGCTATATTTGTCATTAATATCTCAAAATATCGTTATCACGAGCGACAATCTTCAGTAAATAATATATTATTTGCAAACACTCTGAACTTAATAAGATTTTGAAATGCGCAGTATAAGATATATAGATTTATATCTTAGAATTTCAATAACTTGGGGCGTTTTCCGTAATGATATTATATATGTCTATAAACTTATTATAAACATTATAAACAAAAAGATAGTACTTTAATGACAAATGCAAGTGAATTCTTTTGTTTTAGACTCCTTTACAAAAAGCGCAAAAGTATGAAAACGAAGGAAATATATATTTCAAAACGCAAAAATATAATGAAGCCATAACTCAATATACTAAAGCAATCGACATTTGTCCCAAGGAGAATAAGAATGAACTCGCGACTTTTTATCAAAATAGAGCGGCTGCGTATGAGCAGTTGGTAATAAGATATTTGTAATGTAATATTCATAATAAACTTAATATAAAAAATTTGATTTCAATTGATTGTCGAAAGTTGTCGATGATATATGAATCATTGTGTGTACAATTGTTGCAATTCACAGAAAAAATATAGCTCCGTAAAGGCAGATTGTACAAAAGCGTTGGAACTAAATCCAAAATATATTAAAGCTGTGCTATGTCGAGCACGTGTATTGGAGCAAATAGGGGATTTGGAAGCAGCATTGAAGGATATGACTACCGTATGTATTTACGAAGAGTTTTCTCATCCTATTTTCCTTGTAAAGGTAGAAATAATCTTGAAAAAACTTGGTGAGTTATATATTAAAAGCACTTTGTATTAAGTAAAAGTTATTCAAATTAGAACAAGATTTGGAACATAACAGAAATTTAATTATTTGCAATGAAAATTGTTTTTAGTGAAACAACATGCTTATGAAAATTGGATAAACAAAAAGTTATTTATGCCAAATAAGCTTTCCATCGAATACTGTATTATATCTTATTCTAAAGATCCAGTATTTTCTAAACTTCGATGTCCAGAAAATATTCCAGAGTAAGTATAGGCAGAAGACTGTTTTTGTGATTATTTACTTTTTAATGTGTTTGTTATTAGATTTTTCAAAAAGCCATTACAAGCGTTAAAAGATGCGAAATATGATGATGTAATACCGTTGTGTACGGAAATTATTGAAAGTCCGGAATTTAATACATTACCTTCAACTAAACTAGAGGTGTTATTATTACGAGCTACATTTTACTCACTTTTGGGCAAATACAGTCCTGCATTCCAAGACTTAGAATGTATATTGAACATTGAATATGCATCCGATGATGTAAAGATAAACGCTTTGTTAAAGAGAGCGAACTTACATCTAAAATTCATGGATCTAGACATGGCCTTCATGAATTTCGAATTGGCTATTAATATAAATCCGCATTATAGCGATATTTATTATCACAGAGGACAGGTATTAAGCACATTATTGAGCATATTTTTATTGCATGCATATAAATGTACATATAAAATAATGTAACATTTTGTAATTTCAGGTATATATGAACATGGGCAAACTAAACAAAGCTAAACACGATTTTGAAAAAGCTCTTGAATACAATCCAAACTTTAGCATAGCATGCATACAAAAATGCTATACAGATTATCGTATTGCGATGTTAAATAAAGATGTAAGATTAGTCGAAGAGGCTGTAAGAGCTTTCGAAAAAATTTTCGAAAAATATACAAATCTTTCTGAATGTACATTTTGTTATCAATATTATTGTAAGGTATATACAATTACTTATAATTTTTTAAGAAAGATAATTAGAATAACAAAGAGGTGATAGTAATAAATTATTATTATTTACATTTTGATTATTAAAATTTTCAAAAAAATTTTAGATGATGTCCGAAACTCTACAGTACCAGAAAGCGCATATTTATTTTACTAAAATAATAAAGAAATATCCGAAGGACACATCTATGTCTTCAATTTATCTGCACAGAGCCTATTTGCAATTTAATTGGAGCAGTTATTCTAATAAAGCTGTGGAATACCTTAAGAAAGCGATAGAATTGGATGAAAAATGCAGTTTTGCGTATAAATTATTAGGATTGATCGAAATGAAAAGGTACGTTTTCAATCGTTTCTCGTAATTATTATAAAATTTTCTGAATAAACCTTGTAATCATACATATTAACTTACATAAAGAAAGTTGTTTTAATGAAAATATTCTGAATTCATTTTTTACATTTAGAGGAAACATAGAAGAAACAATAAGATTGTTTGATAAAGCTTTAGTATACTGTCATACATTTGAGGAACTGCTACACCTATACTACTTGAGAGACACAGCAAGAATAGATCTTAATGTCAAGAATCAATTCGGGGACAAGTATTTCCGTTTTTTCAGTCTTGGATTGTTGTTATCTGCGAAAGACGGAAGTCGAGGGTTTGCTTATGATTTTATGTTATGATACAAGCGTAGTATCAGTGTTGTAATATATACAATAACTATTTGTTGTAATATATACAACAACAAATAGTTATTGTATATATATATATATATAC